TTATTTATTTTAATTCGACCAGAGAGGGACAGAGAGAGAGAGAGTGAGAAAGCAAGCCGCCAGGTCCAGGACTAGAACCATGGTTGGCCAGTGGAAATCCAGCGCCCTTAACCACCATGCCACCTGCTGGCCCCAGAAGACACTAAAATTTGAGAACCCTGTTTAGGATTTATTCAGAGTGGGTGAATATATCCTTTAACTCATTTTAGGGTTTTTTTTTGAGAGGTTTTTGCTATAGGGCACGTGCATTTGCAGAGAGACAGAAAGCAAGAAATCACCCCCCAGAGAGGATGGCCACACTGCAATCCCTTCTCTTCCTTTCTCCTCTTGGGATCTTGGGTGTGCATGAGTTTAAGCTACCGGATCCGGGACTCAAACTGCAGTCGACTGCATGGGAGTCCAGCGTTATAGCCATTATGCCAACTGCTGGTCCCTAAACTAACTTGTTTAAGTAAGCTAGTTAGTCTCATGTCTTTTAATTTTTTAAAAAAGAATTATTTTATTTAAATTTTACCAGAGAATGATAGAGTGAGAGTGAGGGAAAGTAAGAAAGCAAGCCGCCGGGTCTGGGACTTAAACCTCTGTCGGCCATATGGGAATCCAGCGCCCTTAATCACCATGCCACCTGCCGGCCTCCCATATCTTTAATTTGATAGCACATTGGGGAAGTGACAGTTTGTAATAACCTTCTTGCAGTAATGGTCTTCAATGAGGCAGGCCATATTCATCCTGCTAGCAGTTAGCATATTGTATGTTATGGTGAAGTACCCATGCCCCAGATCAGGTAGAACTGGGTTGAGTCCTAGCTCTTCAGTCTTGGATGAAGTACTGAACCTTTTTTGTCTCAATTATTCATCTGGGAAAAACATCCTATTACGGGGACCAGCAGATGATGTAATGGTTAAGTTGCTGGACTTTTATGTAGTCGACTATGGTTCGAGTTCCAGACCCCTTGGCTTAAACCTCACACCAGGGGCTGGCAGGTGGCATGGTGGTTAAGGGCAACTGAACTACATAGCCAACTGTGGTTCGAGTTCCGGGGCGGCTTGCCTTCTCACTCGCTAGCTCACTCTTTCTCTTTCACTCTCACTCTAGTCAAAATAATACATACATACAAACAGTTGAATAAAATAATTCTTTAAAAAAAATTTTCACACCAGGTACATGCCCAAAAATCCCGAGAGGAGTGTAAAGGAGAAGGGATTGCAGCATGGCCATCCCCTCTGGGCGTTGATTTCTTGCTTTCTGTCTCTCTGGCAAGGATCTGTACCCTATAACAAAAACCTATCTCTCTAAAAAAAAAAAAAAAAAAATTCTAATCCTACGTTCACAAAGAAAGCAATGAAACAAGGTAGTACATGTAAAGTATTTCTGGGGGTAGACCTGAGACCTAGAGCTTAAAGGAGCCAGGTCTCATGGCTGACCATGTATTTGAAATCCTGGCACTGCTGACTTGAAAAACATGCTGGGTGCATGTGTATGCTTGTCTAAAATCTCAACAGAATGGAGAAGGAATTGCAGCATGACCATGCCCCATTGAGAGTATGCTTTTTTCCTCTCTGGGCAGAGTACATGCTCTCTGGCAAGTAAAAAAAAAAAAAATTCTGAGACTTGGTTGCCCATTAAAGTAGAAGTTTAGGGAGGTTGTTTTATGTTTTTTTTGTTTTTTGTTTTTCCCTGAAATTATTATTTTATTTGGGACCAGCAGATGGCGTAATGGCTATGTCATTGGACTCCCATGTAGTTGACTGCAGTTCTAGTCCCGGACCCAGTGGCTTAAACTCATGCCAGGCGCATGTGTGTGCGTGCCCAAGATTCCAAGAGGAGAATGGAGAAGGGATTGCAGCGTTGAAATCACCATCCTCCCGGGGAGTGATTTCTTGTTGTTTCTCTGTCTCTGTCTTTCTGGCAAGTGTACACACCCTATAGCAGAAACCTCTCAAAAAAAAGGAATGATTTTATTTAACTTTATTCATTATTTATTATTTATTTTAACCAGAGGGACAGAGTGAGAGAGAGAGAGAAAATGAGAAAGGAAGCCGCCAGGTCTGGGACGTGAACCGTTGTCAGCCATGTGGGAGTCCAGTGTCCGTAACCACCATGCCACTTGCCCGCCTCCCCAAAAATTGGAGAGGTTTTTGCTATAGGGCGCGTGCGCTCGCCAGACAGAGAGAGACAGAGAGACAGAAAGCGAGAAATCACCCCCCAGGGGGGTTGGCCATGTCGCAATCCCTTCTCCTCCATTCTCCTCTCGGGATCTTGGACACGCACGCACACGTGCTCGGTGTGAGTCTAAGCCACTGGGTCTGGGACTCGAGCCGTGGTCGACTACATGGGAGTCCAGCGACATAGCCATTACGCTAACTGCTGGTCCCTCCCCCCTTTTTAAAAGAGATTTTTAACTTGGGGTGTGTGTGTGTGCACTTGCCAGAGAGAGAGAGACAGAGACAGTGAAAGGGAAAGTGAGATCACTCCTGAGGGGTGATAAACACGGTATAATCCCTTTTCCTCCTGGGATCTTGGGCATAAACATGCACCTAGTGTGAATTCCAAGCCACCTAGTCCAGAACTCGAACTGCAGTCATCCATGTGAGAGTCCAGCGATGTAACCTCTGTAACATCTGCTAGGCCCTGTTTAGGGAGCTTTTAAAAAACTTGGGACAGCAAATGGCATAATGAATGGTTATGCTGCTGGACTCCCATGTAGTTGACCACCGTTTGAGTCCCAGTCCCAAATACACACTTAAAGCTCACGCTGGGCATGTGTGCGTGTGCCCAGAATCTTGAGAGGAAAATGGAGGTGGTTTTGTGGCATGGCCATCCCCCCTGGGGGGTGAGTTCTTGCTTTCTGTCTGTCTCTGTCTCTCCAGTTAGTGTACATGCCCCATAGCAAAATCTGTGTGTTAAAAAAAACCAAAAACTCTGATGCCCAGGCCCCACTGCAGGCCAATTAAATAAATCTCTTGGGTGAGACCAGGACGTTGAACTTTTAAAAACTGAAGACAGATTTGATAACTAGGTATACAAAGTAGTTAGCCAGGCCCCTGGGGTTGCATTAGGGCTCGCTACATTTTAGCTATTTTTATTCCTCTTAGCAGTAGGTACAGATGGTCATGATTTTTGGAAGATACAGGAATGGACATCAGAAGAGAAGGATGCCTAGGGTGCTGGGAAGTTAGAACCCTAGGAACTGTGACAAGAGGCCAGCTGAGGTACCTCTAACTTTTCAACTCTATCCCCATCCAGCACCATGCTCATGGAGAGACAGTTTGCTGTATTCCTCTGTTTCACACAGTACCACTATTTCCTCTGGGAGTGGCTGTTACTGCTCCTTTCCTTTGAGAGGCTGATGTAATCAGTGTCAATACCGAGTCCTCTGAAAGCCAAAGATCCTCTGTCCACTTCATAAGGAAGGTGTGAGCAAGCCAGCTTCTCAGGCCTTAACCCTGTGTCTATACTGTTTTTTTTTTTTTTTTTTAAAGTGGGGTGAGAAAAGCTTTATTTTAGACCATCATCATAAGCTTATGGTCCGCAGAAGTGGGAGTTTCAGTGGGGAAGAGAAAATAGGGTTCAACCTCAAATACAATATGGGCAGTGGAAATTCACAGCTGAGGAGCAGTGTGATAGAAAATGACTAAAGAAACATTAGGAATATGAGAGATTCTGGTTAAACTGAAATATTAAGATTCTTGCTGAAGACATAGAGTGATTAGACATCATTCAGGGGGTGGTGGACAATAAAAACCTAATCACTTATTTAAAGTGATGTGATATTTGGTGTGGGGCTTCTTGCTAAACTACTTTAGCAGGGTTATTTACTCAAAAGAGATTTTACAAGGAAGTATGCAGAGGAAACTAAAAGATTGAGAGGCCTGACTAAAGTTTAATCAAGGCAAAACTTTGACACATTTTAACCCTGTCCAAGTATATGCAATTTAGTACTGTTCAATATATTCATATTATTGTGCAACCACTCTAGTCAATTTTACAAGATGGAAAGAGTCATACAGATAAAGTGATGTTTGCTAGACAACATGAGTGCACACAGTAAGTCTGGTCATCTCACTTTTCACATTGTAGCTCATATGGACTTCCACCAGCCTTTTCTTGTCACCACTGACCAGCTACCTTACATCTCACCCACCATAGTTTGGTTTGTTCTACCTGAGTCATGATGTTGAGCAAACCAAAACCAAAACCAGCCGAATACTAATTCATCTTGGGTTGTATTTCTGGACCAGTGGGTGCTCTGCCTCTGAACCTCATGGCTAAAGCTGTCCACAAAAACTGTGATCAACATCCAAAGAGGATCTTGGAAATTTTAAAACCACCCAGGACTATGTTGTTCGTCAACACACTCAGAACATTCACATGCCTCCTGTCTAACCTAGATCAGTTTCATTCTCAAAGTAAACTTGGACATTTCACCAGAGGTACACTTGCAGAGCACTCTCAGTACATATGAGTAGTTCACAGGCTCTGAAATGACTTAGAATTTTTTTGTTTTGTTTTATTTTGTTAGGCCTTTATGGTATATTTCATTATTTTAAATTTATTTTAAATTTTAATTTATTTTATACATTTAATCCCTATACATCCCTTAGCTTGTAAGTTAGCTTATAACCCTGCTAAAGTAGTTTAGCAAGAAGCCCCACACCAAATATCACATCACTTTTTTTGTTTTTTTAAAAAAGACAGGGTCTCATCATATTGTAGTTCTCCCACTTACCCCCTCAAGTAACTGGGACTACAGGCATATGCCACTGTGACTAGCCTTTATGGTGGTTAGGGAATTGAATCTTGGCCCGCCAGGTGACCCCAGCCTGCTGAGTATCTGTGTCTGCCAGCGTGTGCTACTGTAGCAGGGTCTTTTCTGTTTAAAATGACTCCATCTTCCTCTCCTCTTTCCTGAGATATTTTCTGGGACTGTGACCCTCTGAAGGTGTGGCTATTCCTGACCCCTTTGCTTATTGTTCCCTCTTTGTCCTTTTTTTCCTTAGATCTCGGACAGGTTTGATACTGACTTGTTTAGGGTTCTGCCTGGGGATTACCTTTGCTGTGGATAGAAGCAACTTTAAGACCTGCGAAGAGAGTTCTTTCTGCAAGTACGATATTTCTGGGAAAGTGGGATGGGGATAGGGTATTGTGGGAGGTGTCTGTGGCAGCTGGGGTAGCCCAAAGGTGATAGAGGGACCCAGAGCCATCGGTGTGTCCTCTTACCTTACCTCCCATCTACTTGGCAGGCGGCAGCGAAGCATAAGGCCAGGCCTCTCTCCATACCGAGCCTTGCTGGACTCTCTGCAGCTTGGTCCTGATGCTCTGACAGTCCACCTGATCCATGAGGTCACCAAGGTCAGGCGAGATAAGGAAGAGTCTGCTGGGGTGGGGAAATGGCTGAGATTAATTTGGGAAGGGGAACCTCTAGCCATAATTCTGTCCCATTCAAACCTTGGAGCTTTTACTTTGTGAAGAAATCTGATCTCAGGTCCCTTAGGGAAAGGGCTCAAAGAAGAGACCCTTCAAGAGGGAACGGGTTCAGAGAGCATTCTGTGGGTAGCCCCTTTTCCTTTTTTCAGATCCAATCTTTTGTCCTCACAGGTTTTGCTGGTGCTGGAGCTCCAGGGGCTTCAAAAGAACATGACACGGATCAGGATTGATGAGCTGGAGTCCCGGAGGCCCCGATACCGTGTGCCAGATGTTCTGGTGGCTGATCCCCCCACTGCTCGGTAAAGTTCTTCTGAGAAACATCCCTCTCTGTAGCCCTTTTCTCTTTCCTGGTGAACCTTCTTTTTGGTGGCTTGCTTACTTTCCCACATTAGGGTAATAGCTTATTAGCACCTTAGCACTCCTCAACCTTTCCCTATCCCTCTCTGTTTCACTGCTTTCTCTTTCACCCTTATTTGTTTAACAAAGGTCCTGCTTCTTTTGTCCCAGGCCTGCTAGAAGAGGAAATAGATAAGGCAGAGATCTTCTCCCCTAGGAATATAGTATCTCCCTGGTTTGTTCACTTGGTCCTTCATTTTCTTTTCTTTTTTTCCCTTCCTCTCTTTTTTTTCCTCAGATATCCAGAATAAGAATACTCAAATGCACACTATCATTCTTCCATGCAAGGCTGTCAAGTAATTAATTCAGAAAATGACATAATAAATCTTCTACCCTGGGACTGACCTTAGGGTAGTAGTTAAGGGAAGTAATTAGTTCCCTAGTAGTTAAGGGAAGGCAGATCCCACATGGCCAACTGTGGTTGAGTCCTGGCCCTGGCAGCTTGAAAAACAGTACTAGGCTCATGTGCATGTGTGCCTCAAGTCTTGACAGGATGGAGAAATGGAGGAGCAGGGCATGCTCCACTAAGGGGTACTTTCTCCTCTCATCTCTCCCTCTTTGTCTCTTTTTCTCAGGTGAGTACCTGTGCCCTCTAGCGATTAATTATTCAGTCATTCTCCCTATAAATGGTGTAAATCTACCCAGCCTAGCTGTATACTCCTTATTGTCCTAAACAACTGATTCCCTCAGAGGTGATTATTATTCTGAAGTTATCATTTTCTTGTTTGTTTCATTCTTACAGTTTTATCTTGTGTGTGTGTGTGTGTGTGTGTGTGTGTATATGTGTGTCTATAAGTGCATATGTATATGTGCTTAAGCAATAAATTACATTTTTTTTTTTTTGTACTTTATAGGAAAAGTGCTGTGATGAATGTGGTCTTCTGGGATTTCCTTTTTTCTTTTCTTTTTCTTTTTTTTCATTGCTGCAGGGCATACATACTCACTGGAGAGAGACAGAGAGAGGGAGAAAGTGAGAAAGCATTGCCATTCCACATCCCTTCTCTTCCTGGGACATTGGGCATAAACTCACATGTGCCTGGTATGTTTTTCAAGCCACCGTGTCTGGGACTCAAACCACTTTGTGGAATCCAGCCACTTAACCACCACACCAGCTGGTTCCGGGATTTCCTTTTTTCATGTAAGATTATTTAATTATGCTGTGTTTAGCTCTAGTTCATTCATTTTTATTGCTGTATAATATGTTCAATGGATCTATGCCAACTTACTTACTAATTTCTGTGTTGATAGGCATTTGGGTTATTCTCAGTGTCTTGCTATCCAAAGTATTAGCATGAACATTCTTTCCTTTTTTTTTTTTTTTTGCCTTAGGACATGTGTAGTCAGCAGAGAGAGACAGACAGTGAGAAGAAGGGAAAGTGAGAAATCATCCTTAAAGGGGATGACCACACTGCAGTCCCTTCTCCATTCTCCTCAGATTTTGGGCACACATGTACACATGCCTGGCCTGATTTTCTTTTTTTCTTTTTTCTCTCTTTTTTTTGGGGAGAGATTTTTGCTATAGGGGACGTGCACTCACCAAAGAGACAGAGAGAGACAGAAAGCAAGAAATCACCTCCCTAGGGGGATGGCTACACAGCAATCCCTTCTCCAGTCATTGCTTGGGATTTTGGGCACATACACACACACGCCTGGCATGAGTTTTAAGCTGCTGGGTCCAGGACTCGAACCATAGTCAACTATGTGGGAGTCCAGTGATGTAACCATTACTCCATCTTCTGGTCCTCCTGAAGTGATTTTCAAGCAGCCAGGTATAGGACTTGAACCATGGTTGGCCATATGGGAGTCTGCAACCTTAACCACTATGTAACCTGCTGGCCGCTTCACCCTCCTGCCTTTTTTTTGGAGAGGTTTTTGCTATGGGGCACATACACTTACCAGAAAGACAGAGACAGAGAGATAGAAAGCGAGAAATCACTTCCCAGGGGGGCTGGCCATGCCACAATCCCTTCTCCTCCCTTCTCCTCTCAGGATCTTGGGCATGCGTGCACACGCGCCCGGTGTGAGTTTAAGCCATAAGGTATGGGACTCAAACTGCAGTTGGCTACATAGAAGTCCAGTGACATAGCCATTATGCCAATTACTGGTCCCCCCCCCCCTTTTTTTTGAAGAGATTTTTGCTATAGGGCATGTGCGCTTGCCAGAGAGCAGAGAGAGACAGAAAGCGAGAAACTCACCCCCCAGGGGGAATGGCCATGCCGCAGTACCTTCCCCTCCTCTCTCTAGGGATCTTGGACATACGTACATGTGCCCAGCATGAGTTTTAAGTTGCTGGGTCTGGGCCTTGAACTATAGTTGATTATGTGAGAGTCCAGCAATGTAACCATTATGCCATGGTCCCACCCACCCCATTTTTTTTTTTAAGTTTATTTGTTCTATGAGTGAGAGACAGAGATATATTACCTCAGGCAGGGTTTATTTTTCATTATTTTAAAAATTATTTCCTTTTGGGACCAGCAGTTAGCGTAATGGCTATGTTGCTGGACTCCCATGTAGTCGACCGTGGTTCAAGTCCTGGACCCGGTGGCTTAAACTCACACTGGGTGCGTGTGTGTGCGTGCCAAAGATCCCTAGAGGAGAGTGGAGAAGGGATTGCGGCATGGCTATCCCCCCTGAGGGGTGATTTCTCACTTTCTATCTCTATGTCTCTCTATGTCTTTCTTGCGAGTGCATGTGCCCTGTAGCAAAAACCTCTCCAAAAAAAAAAATTATTTCCTTTTTATTTATCATTATTATTCCATTTGCTACAGGATATATGCATTCACAAGAGGAGGACAGAGAAAAAAAGAAAGTGAAAAAGCAAGCTATGGCACCAGCAGTTGGTGTAATGGCTGTGTTGCTAGACTCCCATGTAGTTGATCACAATTCGAATCCCAGACCCGGTGGCTTAAACTCAAGCTGGGTGCGTGTGCATGCATGCCCAAGATCCCCAGAGGAGAATGGAGGAGAAGGGATTGCGGCATGGCCATCCTCCCTTGGGGGGAGATTTCTCGCTTTCTGTATCTCTGTCTCTCTCTGTCTTTCTGGAGAGCACATGCACCTTATAGCAAAAACATCTCCAAATAGTAATAATAGTAATACTAGTACTAAATTAAAGCTATTTTAGGTCCAGGACTTGAACAGTGATCAGCCATGTGGGAGTCCAGCGCCTTAACCACCATACCACCTGTTGGCACCAGACAGGGTCTTAACACTGTAACCTGTTCCTAGCTTCAGTTAGTGTAGGTCCTGAGCACTTGCTTTTCCAGCATACTCAGGGTGGTCTAGATGCGAACTAGTGAACTTCCCACATGGGTATGCCTGGAAGTGTGTTGCATTTTTACCACTGCACACTGGCTGCGTGGCCTGTGTATTCTTGTATATGTCTCCTGTTGTCCTTGTACGGGAATTTCTCTTTGGTGTAAAGCTAGGAGAGAAAATGCAGGGTAGAAAGAATAGGAGTTGATCAAATTTCTTTTTTGTTTTTGGAGAGGTTTTTGCTACAGGGCGCCAGAAAGACAGAGAGAGACAGAGAGACAGAAAGTGAGAAATCACCCCCCAGGGCAGATGGCCACACCACACCGCAATCCCTTCTCCTTCATTCTCCTCTCAGGATCTTGGGAATGCATTCACACATGCCCTGCGTGAATTTTAAGCCACCGGGTCTGGAACTTGAACCGCAGTCGACTGCATGAGAGTTCAGCAACATAGCCATTACTCTAACTACTGGTCTCATAATTTTAACTTTATTTATTTATTTATTTTAAATATTAACTTATTTATTTTTAATTCAACAGAGAGTGAGTGAGAGAGAGGGAAAGTGAGAAAGCAAGCCACCAGATTTGGGACTTGAATTGTGATTGGCCATGTTGGGAGTCCAGGACTCTTAACCACCACATCACCTGCTGGCACCAAAGAGTTGATCAAATTTCAGAGATAAAGCCAAAGTAGTTTGCCAGTTTATATTGCCAACAAAGTATAAGAAACCTCATTGATGTACATCCTCTCCAACCCTTGACTTAATTTTTTTTTTTTTTTTTTTTTTAGTTTTTACTATAGGGTGTGTGCTCACTAGAGAGATGCATAGGGGAAAATTGAGAAATCACTCCCTGGGGAATAGCTACACTACAGTCCTTTCCCCATTCTTTTCTTGGGATTTTGGGCACCCACACACATGTACTTGCATGATTTTCAATTCTCCGGGTCTGAAACTTGAACTGTGGAGTCAGCCATATGGGATCCAGCTGCCTTAACCTCCATGCCATCTGCTGGCCTTAGACTTAATTTTTGTCAATAAAATGAGTATAAAAGGTTTCATGGGTGATGTATTACATTTATATTTATCTTTTCTCTGTTAATGTGATGTATTATATTTATATTTTTGAATATGTTGAACCATCCTTGCACTCCTGGAATAAATGGGGGGGGGCAGCAGGTGGTAAAGGTACTGGACACCCACATGGGTGACCATGATTCAAGTCCTAGACCCAGGCGGGGCTATCTACCCACTTCACAGGTGATTTATTTATTTTTTTGTGGGGGGCGGTTAGAAGTTTTTGCATTAGGGCATGTGTGCTTGGGGGTTGTGGGGTTGGGGCAAGAGAGAGACATTGAGGGAAAGTGAGAAATCATCCCCCAGGAGGATGGCCATGCTGCAATCCCTTCTCCATGCTCCTGGGCATGCACTCACATGCACTCAGTGTAAGTTTCAAGCCACCCAGTCCATGACTCAAACTGCAGTCGGTCATGTGGGAGTCCAGTGCTGTAACCGCTGTGCCATCTGCTGGCCCTAATTTATTTTTTTAAGACTTTTTGCTGCGGACCAGCAGGTGGTGTGGTGGCCAGGGTGATGGACACTCCCACGTGGCTAACAATGGTTTGAGTCCCATACCTGGTGGCTTGCTTTCTCACTTCCCTCTTTCTGTGTCTTTCTCTGGTCAAATTAAAAAATGAATGAATAAATAAAATTAAAAATTAAAAAAAAACTTTTTTGCACTAGGGTGTGTGTGCTTGTCAGAGAGAGATTCAGTTCAGAGACAGAGAGGTAACCTTGAGAAACCACCCCCAAGGGGAATGGTCACACTACAGTCTTTTCTCCAGTCTGCTCTTGGGATTCTGGGTATGTACACCTGTGCCCAGCTTGTTTCTAAAGCTTTCGGGTCCTAATCTCAAAGCATGTAGTTGGTTACGTGGGATCCAGCCTCCTTATCTTCCATATCACGTGCTGGCCTGCTTATTATCCTGTTTGTGTTTTTTAGAGAGGTTTTTGCTCTAAGGCGTGAATGCTCGCTGGAGAGGCAGAGAGACAGACAGCAAGGAATCACCCTCCAGGGGCATGGCCATGCTGCAGTCCTTTATCCTCCATTCTCCTCTCAGGATTTCTGCCTGCATGCACACGTGCTCAGTGTGAGTTTTAAGGTGCTGGGTCTGGGACTTGAACCGCAGTCGACTACGTGGGAGTCCAGTGACATAACTGTTATGCCATCCGCTGGTCCCTATTATTATTAATATATATATTTTTTGCTATAGACTGCAAGTGCTCACCAGAAAGACAGAGAGAGAGAGAAAACAAGAAATCACTCCCCTACCCCCAGGGGAAATGGGCACACCACAGTCCCTTCTCCTTCATTCTCCCTTCAGGATCTTGGGCACACATGCACATGCACCCGGTGTGTTTAAGACACCAAATCTGGGACTCGAACTGTGGTCGACTACATGGGAGTCCAGTGATGTAGCCATTATGGCATCTGCTGGTCCCTTAAATTTTTTAAAATAATAATCATTTTATTTAACTTTATTTATTTATTTTAAATTTGACCAGAGAGGGACAGAGTGAGAGAGAGAGAGAGAGAAGGAAAGTGAGAAAGCAAGCCACCAGGTCCGGGACTTGAACCATGGTTGGCCATGTGGGAGTCCAGCACCCCTAACCACTATGCCACCTGCTGGCCCCTAAAATTTATTTTTATTTAATTTCATTTATCATTACTTTTTAATTTGACTGGAGAAAGTGAGAAAGCAAGCTGATGAATCTGGGTCTGAACTGTGGTCAGCCATGTGGGAATATGGCGCTCCAACCAGCATGCCACCTGCTGGCCCTGTTTCTAGGTGTTTTAATTTTTTGCTATAAGGTGTATGGGATTGCTAGAGACAGAGAGGAAAGTAAGAAAGCTGCCGCCGGAGGGGATGACCTCACTGTAGTCCCTTCTCCATTCTCAGGATTTTGAGCATACATGCATACATACCCAGTGTGATTTTCAAGCCATCGGGTTTGGGTCTTGAAATGTGTAGTTGGCTGTGCAGAATTCAGTTCCTTAACCTCCAAGCCACCTATCAGCCCCCATCTATGTTCTTTATTTGGTTCCTTTGATCAGTTTTTCTTTCACTGCATTGTTGCTGCTTTGGATCTAACTCTTTGAATCTTAGCTCTTCTTTTTTCAAGAAAGAATTTTTCTATAGGGCACATGTGCTCGCCCAAGAGACAGACACAAAGCAGGAAATCACCTCCTAGGGGGGTGGCCACACTGCACTCCTTTCTCCTCCAGCCTCCTCTGAAGATCTTGGGCACATTGCACATACACCCAGCGTGAGCTTTAAGCTGCTGGGTTCTAGTCTCAAACCGAGATTGTCTACGTAGGAGTCCAGTGACAACCGTTACGTCATCTGCTTTTCCCCAGGTTCTCTTTTTTTCTGAAGTGTCATGAGTACTCTTAGCTGCTCGTGCTTCCTCATCTCTCTCTTTTTCCTAGGCTTTCTGTCTCTGGCCGTGACGACAACAGTGTGGAACTTACTGTCGGTGAGGGGCCCTACAAAATCATCTTGACTGCCCAGCCTTTTCGCCTTGACCTGCTAGAGGACCGCAGCCTTCTGCTTAGTGTCAATGCCCGAGGACTCTTAGATTTTGAGCATCAGAGGGCTCCTAGGGTCTCGTGAGTACTGGGGTTGGGACTTCAAGGAACCTAGTGTGAAATAGTCTAGGGGTGTTTCAGGGTTTGACACTGGGTTTCTGGGAGGACACAGGGTGGAGAGTAGCCAGGTAGGGGCTGGGATCTGGGAAAAGCTATCAGGGAGGGTAGGACCCATACTGGGGTATAGTTTTCTCCATTTCCTGTACAGACCAGGGGACAGTCACTTTTGTCTCTGTGCTGTACCCTGGGCACCTCCTCTGGGAGGCCTGCCTAGGTCTGCCTCTCCCTCTTCCCCTTCTCATATCATCACATTTGCCAGATTTACTTTCTTGCTTTTTATTATTATTATTTTTTTTGGTTTCTTTCCCCCATCCCCCATCTCTGGAAGTTTGTCAACTGAAACTCACTTTTATGTTTCTGTTTTTGTGTTGGTTTTGTGCCTCCTTTTCCCCTTCCCTACCCATTTCCTCCTGTCCCAGTTTCTCGGATAAAGTTAGTCTGTCGCTCGGTAGCATATGGGATAAGATCAAGAACCTTTTCTCTAGGTAAATTCATTGCCACTGGTACTGTATCTGTTCCTTTGCCCTTACCTGCCCTTCAGTCATTCCCTGTTCCCAATCCCCCTGGCTGGGAGGGAAGATGAAATGTTTGAAATCCTTAAGGAATATATATAGGGAGCTTATTGCATAACCAAGGGGTGGATAGATTGGGGTTCCTGGATCTCAGCTAGGGTACAGCTAAGGATCTGGGCAGAGCTGCTTGCCAGTTGCCCTTGAAAGCATTCTTTGGCAGAACCTCTAGAAGTCCTGTGTCTGTAGAGACTTGGTATAGTATGACCCACTTGCCTTTGCGAAACCCTCATGAGGCATGAGGCTGAGCACGTTGAGGGTGCTGGGACCAGGGTCTGTCAGTGGAGGCAGCAGTGCCAGGACTGACATTCAGAACCCAGGCCCCTGAACCATCCTGCCTGTCTCTTCTGGGATGCTGGCATGGCTTAGTGACTTGGGGCTGTGTGTGAAGGGCACCGCCTAGTGGCATTTATTCCTCATTTCCCTTTCTTATTTCTCTTCTTGTTCTTTGCAAACTTACCTTTCCACTGGGGATCCCTCTCCAAACTTTAACATTCAGTCCCTTCCTCCAATGCTTTCATTCCTTTGGACCCTTGGCTCTCTATTCCCCTACCCCTCCTTCCACTAGCCCCTCGTCCCTGCCCCTTCTGGATTGGAGCAGACAGCTCTCCTACCTTCCAGGCAAGGATCAAAAGACCCAGCTGAGGGTGATGGGTCCCAGTCCGAGGAACCACCTGGGGACGGTGACAAGGCAAGTCGATTGGGACGACTGGGTGGCTGGAGGGATAAGGTCTACAAGAAACTTGAGCTTAGTCTCGCCATCAGGGGTGGGGTGTAGGAAATGGAAAGGGGAAGAGAGAAAACTGGCGTATGATTTGGTAGTGGTCCACTTTCCTCCTTACAGCCAGAGGAGAGCCAGGGGAAGGCAGAGAAAGATGAGCCGGGAGCCTGGGAGGAGACATTCAAAACTCACTCTGACAGCAAGCCATATGGTGAGGGACTGGGAGAGCCCTGGGCAGAGGAGCAGGGAGTCTTTGCCAAGCAGCAGCTCTGGAGCTTGTCCTTTGCTTTCCTTCTAGGCCCCACGTCTGTGGGTTTGGACTTCTCTCTGCCAGGCATGGAACATGTGTATGGGATCCCTGAGCATGCAGACAACCTGAGACTGAAAGTCACTGAGTGAGTCTTACTGTGACATCAGGATCTGCTGGGAGGATGGGGCAGGAAGAAGTCAGGACAGATGAATATCCAGGCAGGCATGGGTTACTTCCTGTGCCGGCATCACCTTCAGTGATCAGGATCAGAAAATTCTTTGAGAACAGAAAAATCAGTTCTGGTTTTGTTTTTGTTTTTGTTTTTCTATAAGGGTGCGTGTGCTCACCAGAGAGAAACAGAAAGGGGGAAAGTGAGAAAGCACCCCAAAGGGGGAATGGCCACACTGCTGTCCTCTTTTCCATTTTCCTCAAGAGATTTTGGGCATGTGCGCATATATCCCACTGTGCCTTTCAAGTCACCAAATTAGAACTCCAGCTGCATAGTCAGCCACGTGGGATCTAGCTGCCTCAGCCACTACACCGCTGGCTGGCCCCATGGAGCCAATTTTTATCTCACACCTGTGTCTCTAGCATGGGGGGTTCCAAGTGCTGCATCCTGGGGCCAGTTATTAGCCCAAGTCTGTCTATCTGCCTGCAGGGGTGGGGAGCCATATCGTCTCTACAATTTGGATGTGTTCCAGTATGAGCTGTACAACCCGATGGCCCTGTATGGGTCTGTGCCTGTGCTTTTGGCACACAACCCTCATCGCGATTTGGGCATTTTCTGGCTCAATGCCGCAGAGACCTGGGTTGACATATCCTCTAACACTGCAGGGAAGGTGAGCACAGGCGGGAACAAGGTGGGATCCTCCAGGCCTTGAGATAAATGAGCATGCTGGGGCATGAGCTTTGAAGAATCTGGTGGGATAGCCTGTTTGAGGGCGGGGTCAGAGAAGGGGCCTTGGGCCTCATGAGCAGCATCCGAGTTCTCCAGTCACTCCTGGTTGATGCAGTCATGGGGAGGGCATTGCCTTTTCTGGGTGGAGGGGACGCATTTACCACATACTAGCATTTTTCTTAGGACTGGGCTTATAGTATGAAGTGAGGTTGAAAAGATCCTTATTCTTGGGAGGAAGACAGACATTAAACAGGTACAAAGAAGGCAGGATGAGCTCAGAGAGGGTAAACGCTAACAAAGAGATGAAATGGAGAGCAGGCACCAGGGCACATGCCTTGGTCTCAGCTGTTTGGAAGGCTGAAGTGGGAAGATGGAAACATAGCAAGACTTCATTTTAAATTATAAAAATAAAAAAAGTGAGGTGAACTAGTCATATTGTGGGGATAGGAGCAGTGCTGCTTTAGGTAGTAGTCCAGGAAGGCATCATCGAGGAGGTAGTATTTAATCTCGGACCAAAGTGACTGAGTAAGACCCAGCTGTGTGAAGACTGAGAAGAAACCTGCTTTTGTCCTGTGGCGGGAAAATGAGAAGATGCGTGTCTGATCTCTCTCTGGTCACCTGTTCAGACTCTGTTTGGGAAGATGCTGGACTACCTGCAGGGATCTGGGGAAACCCCACAGACAGATGTTCGCTGGATGTCAGAGAGTGGCATTATCGATGTTTTCCTGATGCTGGGGCCCTCTGTTTCTGACGTCTTCCGGCAGTACGCTAGTCTCACAGGTACGTGGTGTCCCCATTGTTAGCCAACAACCTCATTTTTCTCCCCTTGTCTTCTCAAGGGATGGTTCCTGGCATTTTCAGAAGTCCTTTGCCCCAACCTGTTTTCTAGCCCTGTACCCTTCAGCCTCCCTCTACTTCACAAGCCTTCCTCAATTTTTGTGTATCTCCTTTGGCCCAGATTGGTTCTGATCTCCACTGTGACCTTCATTCCTTGATGAACTTGCAGGGACCCAGGCATTGCCTCCGCTCTTCTCCCTTGGCTACCACCAGAGCCGCTGGAACTACCGGGATGAGGCCGATGTGCTAGAAGTGGATCAAGGCTTTGATGATCACAACATGCCCTGTGATTTCATCTGGCTGGACATTGAACATGCTGATGGCAAGCGATACTTCACTTGGGACCCTAGCCGCTTCCCTCAGCCCCTCAACATGCTTGAGCACTTGGCCTCCAAGAGGCGGAAGGTGAGAGACCTATACCTATGATCAGTCTTAGAATAAGACTAAGGTGTAAAAGCCTTGGTAAGCACTGACCACCCGTGTTCCCTGCCCCCAGCTGGTGGCCATTGTGGACCCCCACATCAAGGTGGATGCTGGCTACCGAGTACATGAAGAGCTGCGGAACCAGGGGCTATATGTTAAAACCCGGGATGGCTCTGACTATGAGGGCTGGTGCTGGCCAGGTAGGCAGGCCCAAATTGAGGGACAGGCTGTTGGGAGGCCAGGGATGTAGTATGGTGGCTGTTCTGCTTGCTGGGGTTGACAGTCACCCTTAATCCTCTCCCAGGCTCAGCTAGTTACCCTGACTTCACTAATCCCACGATGAGGGCCTGGTGGGCTAACATGTTCAACTATGACAATTATGAGGTAGGCAGTGCCTCTCCCTGTGACTTGCTGTTGTATTTCCCACCCTGCCTCCCTAAATCAGTCTTTCTCTTGTCAGTCCTGCTTTTGTTGGTGGCAGTGACTTATCAGGGGCCATGATGGTCTTGGGAGGACCTTGAAAAATTCATCTTTTTAGAGTCCTAGGAGCTCTCTGCTCTAACACTGTCTTCTTCCTTCCCTCTGTCCTTCCATCCCCATTTCTGCCTGTGTTTCCAGGGTTCAGCTCCCAACCTCTTTGTCTGGAATGACATGAACGAACCATCTGTGTTCAATGGTCCTGAGGTCACCATGCTCAAGGATGCCCAGCATTATGGGGGCTGGGAGCACCGGGACATTCACAACATCTATGGCCTCTATGTGGTAAGGGGCTGAGAAAGAGTTGATGGGAAGAGAGAAAACAGAACCCGAAGTCTGAGAACCAAGAAACTTGCAACAGATGACAGCTGGCTCTTATTCCTCACTGTCCCTTTCCTCCTCTCCCCAATCTAGCACATGGCGACGGCTGATGGGCTGATACTGCGCTCTGGGGGTATAGAACGCCCTTTTGTCCTGAGCAGGGCTTTCTTCGCTGGCTCCCAGCGATTTGGTAAGATTGGGAGGGCAGGGCTGTGGCAAGGGTGTGAAGGGCAGATCACCGGAGCCTGGGGCTTGACTCTGGCTCTCTGAGAAATCTGCCTAGGTGGTCGTCCTTTGAAAGGGACACACTATACTCTCCCAATTGTGTACTTTATTATTTTTTAAGTTGTTTTGCTATACGGTGTATGTACTTGCCGGGGAGAGACAAAGGCAGAGAGAGAAAGTGAGAAATCACCCTCTGGGGGAGATGGGCATGCTATAGTCCCTTCTCCTCCCTTCTCCTCTCAGAATTTTGGGCACATATGCACAAGTGCCCAGTGTGATTTTCAAGGCACCAGGTCTAGGACTCGAACCACCTAGTCAGCTGTGTGGGGCCCAGCCACCTTAACCTCCATGCCTCCTGCTGATCCTCAGTTGTATACTTTAAGGGGAGCCAGGGAGTTGATAGTCCAATCTCTGTTCAAGTGTTCTTGTGCACTCTGCCGTCTTTAGTAGGCTCCGTGGGGCCCAGAGCAGATGGGGCAGATCATAGCAGTCAGCTCTGTAAAAAAGCCAAGCCCCTTCACAATGAGCAAGCACCCTCCCTCTTGTCTTCCTCAGGAGCTGTGTGGACAGGAGACAACACTGCTGAATGGGACCATTTGAAGATCTCTATCCCTATGTGTCTCAGCATGGGGCTGGTGGGACTTTCCTTTTGTGGGGGTAAGAGGAGGAGGGATTTGGGATCTTAGTTTAATGGGAGTAGGGGGCAAAGTAGAGGGCATAGGACCTTATGCAGCAGCAAAAAGTCAAGAGTCCAGGGTTGAAGTTCCTCAGATAGCATTCTTCATTTTTTTTTCAATGTGCTTCCTCCCTCTTGCTAGCGGATGTGGGTGGCTTCTTCAAAAACCCGGATCCAGAGCTGCTTGTGCGCTGGTACCAGATGGGTGCCTATCAGCCATTCTTCCGGGCACATGCACACTTGGACACTGGGCGGCGAGAGCCATGGCTCTTACAGTCTCAGTACCATGACATAATCCGAGATGCCTTGCATCAGCGATATTCCTTGCTGCCCTTCTGGTACACCCTCTTCTATCAGGCTCATCGTGAAGGGGTTCCTGTCATGAGGTAAGCCATGTGGTTGGGTTTGTGTAGAGTGAGCTGAGGTGACTTAGGGACAGTAAGAACTGGGCTGCATCTCTGGGCTTCTTGCTTCACTAACCAGAATTTTATAAAGGAATGAATCTGATTTCAAGGTCAAGAGTGAAGGAAAGATTGGGGCCAGCAGGTGGCATGGTGGTTAAGGCACTGGACATTCCCACATACATACATACATACATACATACATACATACATACATAAATTCATTCATTCGTTCATTCTTTCTTTCTTTTAAAAAAAATTCCTAAGTAGAAGACCACGGTATAGTGGTTAAGGTGCTGAACTCCCACATAGTCAACTGTAGTTTGAGTCCCAGACCCAGCGGCTTGAAACTCATACCAGGTGCACGCATGCGTGTGCATGTCTATATGCCCAAAATCCCGAGAGGAGAATGGAGGAGAAGGTGTGGCCATCTCCCCTGGGTGGTGATTTTTTGCTTTCTGTCTCTCTGCCAAACACAGGCACTATGCTTGTACTATAGCAAAAATCTCTCTCTCAGAAAAAAAAAAAAAAAAAAAAAAACTTAATCAGAAGTGAATTTGTCTCTGGTAAAGAACCAGAGAAAGAGGTAGAAGTTGCTCTTAGAGGGAAGGCCTTGCATGCCAGGACAATGACGTGTATGAAGAGGCCAGTGGAAGGCTGCTGTGCAGAACAGTTTGAAGAAGGAGCAGGGGTGAAATAGTCACAGAGATGGGGATAGAAAATTAAACGTCTAGACCAAGGCTGGGTTGCATAACTGAGGCCTGAACCTTGGTCAGACTGTCTAGCTGCAAACCTCTGGGTCTTACGGCTGTGCTGTCTTTATCTCCACTTCTTAGGAGAGCATAAATGGCAGCTATCTTCCTTTCTTACATTGTTTCCTTCCTAGGCCTCTGTGGGTGCAGTATCCTCAAGATGTGACCACCTTCAGTATAGATGATCAGTTCTTACTTGGTGAGAAATGAGGGGAGCAGTTGTTGGGTGAGGATAGGGCTGAATAGTACTACACAGCTGTAACTGTGGATGCACAAAGCGGGAGGACAGTGAGGTTGGTGGTGCAGGGGGGCAGATACATTGTAGTGGTGGTGGCTGGTGTTGTAGCAGGCAGGTACATTGATGTTCCCTGGTCTGGGAACCAATCCCCTCAGTTCAGAGTTGCTTCTGGTGTGTTTTAGGGGATGCATTGCTGGTTCACCCTGTATCAGACTCTGGAGCCCATGGCGTGCAAATCTATCTGCCTGGTCAAGGGGAGGTAAGTTAAGGAAGGGTGTGGTGG